CGCCGGCGGCTGCACGGGGCTTCCCTCACCTTCATGCAATGTGGCAGAGGGTTTGCCACTTGCCGTGCTGTTCCCCACCGACCCCCCATCACTGGACACACTGCGGGTCCCAGCAGACCCATCACAGCCGCCTTATAGTACCTCCCAGTACGCCAGATTATCGGAAGTCTACTGTATTACTTCTGTCTTCACAATTTATACTGCCGAATGAAGTAGTCCACCACTTGATTTTTTTTCGTGTTATTTTGGGGACGGTCGTGTTATTCAAAAAACATTCCCTAAAAAAAATGGTGCTATCGCAAAAACGTGTTAAGTGGGAACGTGTGGAACGAGTAATTACTGTATTCAATGACATCCTGCCGCCATCATCAAGAGAATGGAAGGAATACAGAGCCTGTTGAGTGGCTGTGGAGTGGTGAGGAATCAGTCAGAAGTTTTGTTTAGAATTTTCATGCAAATACCGGGGTGAGACATGGAAACCTCCCTTCAGTTGATTTATATCAACACAGATTCTGATTCTTGTAGATGCCACATCAAAATGCAATATATGGGACAAAGGCAGATAGCAAATCATGACTCGTGCCCACTACATCAAGATGTACTTTTTTATATATTTACCTGGCTGTCTACTCTGCCTCAGCATACTCCCTATCTTTTCTGTCATAATGCATATTGCAAGATCTTTTAAATAAGTATGTATACAGGACACAACAAAATGATGTCCTGAACCTTCCGATTTGGTTCTTCGTCTTAGGCCCCTCTTAACCCTCTCTTTCTCTCACTCTCCACACACATGAAATTAATAAATAATAATAAAATTAATCAATAATAATAATAATACAAATGAAGAAGAATGCAGCATTTCGTGATGTTTTAATCTGATAGGACAGCATATCTCAGGGTACGTCTAGACTATCCGTTTCTTTTGAAAGAAGCTTTTTTGAAATAATCTTTTGAAAAAGCTTCTTTCGAAAGAGATCGTCTAGACAGCCACCACTTTTTTCGAAAAAGCAATCCGCTTTTTCAAAAGAAAGCACCCAGGCAACCTGGATGCTGTCTTTCGAAAAAACCCTGTTTGCATTCCAGAACACCTTTTTTCGAAAGAGCTCTTATAAAATGAGGTTTTCTGTGGTGGCAGTCTAGACACAAGTGAAGTGTTTTGAAGAAAAGGTCACTTTTTTTTTCAAAAAAACCTTGTAGTCTAGACATAGCCTCACAGAATAGCCTGCAAAACCACACCTTTGAGGCCCTGTTAATTAAGATTCAACATTTTACACAAAGACACAAGAGTTCACAGAACATCTAGAAACTAAATAGCTTAAATGGCTCAAATGTTTATAGTACCATCGAAGAAAATCCTCACCTTCTCACCCCGATCTCCTGGAGGCCCTGGGGGACCCTGTAAGACAAGACATTTTATTAGACTGCATATTATATGTTACATGTGATGTATAGACTACACCAGTCAATATTTTAGCAGGCTGGTCAGTAACCCGGCTCAGTCTTGGCTCATGCCAGGCTCTGGACCTACCCTTGCTGCAGCTCTGCATTTAAAGTGTATTAGGAGCAAGGTAGACAGATAGTTCAGCTTGTGCCAGGTCCAAGAGCTCAGCCCTTCCCCCCCTCCCCGCCCACCCCCTTGGACAGTGGCAACAGCATGGGGCAACAGGCAGCTGGTTCACAAGAGGAGCTGTTTTTAAAACTGGCTCCCCTTGTGGACCAGTTCCCGCCTGGCATTCTGTGCTCTCCCTCTTCCCTGTGACTCTCTGGCTCTGCACTGCTCTTGCACCCCGCACCCTGCTCCCCCGATCCCTGCACCCCCAGCTCTGTGCTGCCAGTTCCTTGCACTGCCCCTAGACTCCAATCCCTCTGCCCCTCCCGTTCCCTGTGTCCCATTCGCTGTCCCTCCACCGCATCCTGCTCCCCCCGATCCCTGCCCCTCCCAGCTCTCTGCTGCCCGTTCCCTGCACTGCCCCTAGGCTATAAGAGGCAGCAGCGTGGCGTGGCATGGGGCTCCTCAGGAATAGGGCCAGAGTGAACTGGCTGCTGTCCCCATCCCCGGGGATTATAGAATAGTCGAGTAACTGATAAGCAGGGCTTGACAAATACACTCGCCTGCTCACTCGTGGCGAGTAGATTTTACCAGCTGGTGAGTGCAGGGGCAGACTGGCCCGGTGGGCCGTTGTGACGGGCTGGCCAAAGCCCGCACTACGGGCGGCGCGGCCCCATCCAATCTGCTGGCCAGGCGGAGGAGTGGAGCACCGCCGGGAAGGGGGAAGCGCAGTGATTCTCAGTGAGGGGCTGGCTGTGTGCACCAGAGGGCGGGACGCTGGCAGGATGTGGCCCCCCGATTTTAAAGGGCCGTGGCAGCTCGGCTCTGGCTGCATGTCCCTGGGAGCTGGCTGCAGTGCACGGCACAGCCAGGCCCCGCCACGCCACACCAGCTCCAATCCTGCCACAGCCCCAACCCCCTCCTCGGCAAGAGACCC